TAAATAAGTTTATAATTGTATATAGTACTCAACAGACCATTTTGATTACAGCCAGCAGTGGCAGCTGTTTATATTACCAATTCTAATGAAGTTATTCAAATCGATACCTACCTAAGCGCACCTACTTATGCACATTCTTATGAAGAATAACAAAATTGCGATAAAACAAGTATACCTAGAACAAAACAGTAAGCCAAATAAAAAAAAAAAAGTCAATGTATACACATAAAATATGTATTGTTATTAATATTTGTTTTTATTGACACTGGTATATGAGGTGATTGAAAACCACTTTTTCTGCATTTATTTAACAATATGGTCGCATTTAAGTTTATGTACATAAAAGCRGGGTTCACCAATTATATATAGTTTTAAATTTATATTCAGCCTTCACTGGAAGTTTATTGCTTCGATCGCAGTTGACATGACCATGAAAACCATAAACAATATTTTATGATATTTTTGCCTCAAATTGCAAGGAACTGAATTATTCAGAAATGTGTCAGCAATAAACAACACAAGCTAATCAACATTTTTCTAAAGTTAAGATTTTTAATAGTAATAATTTTAATTTACTATAGGAACCCGAAATCCTACAAAATTTATCGTAATGTTATATTTTCAACATTATACGTATCGTAATTAAAAAAATACCAAAATTTTGCAATTAATTTGTGTGTTTTTCCCTTATTTGTTTTATAGTCGAATTACATTTTGTGCCGTCTTAATGTGTTAATGAAATCGACTTATCGATTAGTTGACAATTGCCGATACGTTTTTTGTTTACAATTGAGCTTATAATAAACGTAAAAACTCTTGGTTTGTTAGACAATTTTTAAAAAATTAAAAAAAAAAAATTCTAATTTATATTGTAAAATTGTAACCTAATAAATTAAAATCTCAGTTGAAACTCTGATATGGAAATGTAGTGCACATGAAGATCACATCCTGTTGAAATGTTGCTAATTGAAGTATATACTCGTATACTTTGCATACAATTACGACAGTACAGTATCAATTAATTAACTTCCTCACGCTTCGGCTAATCGGTTTGCAAATTACATGAGAAGCAGAACACAGCTGGATCACAATACACAGACAGTACAAATCTATAACTCAATTCCTTATGGGTGTAATTTACATATTTATTTACATATGTAGGAGTGCATAAAATAACAGAAGCTGACATATTAGAGTAATTATTCCAACCAATTGTTTATTTTTGTTTTCACTACTGAAATGATCGTTATTAACATTGAGACTCAACAGAATGCCATTATTGCAATCAGCTGTGTATTTATAATAGTTGAAATGAATTTGACAGCTATTGGATAAATATTTATATATATACATATTTTTTAAAGGGCACACCTAGTGTGAAAGTTGTCTTTATTTTTATTATTTGGCCTACTAAAAATCGATATCTCAAAGCGTTTTTGAGTAACAGCCGTCTAAAGTCTAGCCGCTCAGTTCATAGAGTTCCATTAGTATTTCTCGAATTTGTTGTGTATAAAATGAGCTACCTGTTTTTTGATCTAAACAAGAATCGAGTTTTAGCAGACCAAAACTCACCAAAATTTTGTGTTAAATTCAACTTTATTTGAGATTTCCCTTAGAAACGTTAACCAGTTCCGATTTTATTCACTTTTAAAGGCTGTAATGCCATATTATTTAATTCAGCAAGCATGCCTTATTAACACGTGCAAAAATTTGCATTCTGTTTAATGTCAATTAATATTAATTACATTAAATTCATACATATTAAACTATGTCAAACCAGTTGGACTAATAGGAGTCATAAGCTTTTAAATCCGTTCAATTAGCACTGATCTCATGTTAGATTTATTGTTGATAGTTGTCAATACACTCGGTAATCTGACACAAACGTCATATGACAACGTAGATCTAATAAAATGCAAATCTAAAAGTCATAATAACACGACGTTGTCGTTATTAGCGCTCTAGTCTAACATGCATATTACAGTTAGAGGAGTACCTAAGTACTCGTTACAATGCCAGTAATTAACTTTCATTAGTAATTAACTGCAATAAAGCTTAAAGTGTGATTTTCTCAAGATTATTCATCATCATCAACGTATATTTATGCGATCGTTAATAAAAATAGAACGTTAAAAGCTCGAAATTCGGACGCACTGGATACTAATAGTGGAGGAAAGAGCGCCTTTGTATAATTATAAGTAGTTTTCAAGGAAATCAAATCATGGTTTCCTTTCAAGTCGGTATAACCTACATTATCGATTATTAAGTGCTTTGCTCATGCACTTTTTGCGGATRCTAATTGATGTGAAGTAATAATAATTAAGGTTAGAAAACTAGTTTTATTTGTAATATTTGATGCATATATACACCCGCTTTAATTATATGCAYATATGTAAATGAAATCTAAAGAGTGCTGATGAATTTCACATTCATATTTAAATAATAAATATTGTGACATGCCTAACCATATTCGCTTACAGCTTGTCCCAGGCTTTCTATTGGTGTGTAAACCTCATTGCATATGTAATAGATCGGACACAGTTCCGTGTTCATATTTTTTTAGAAACCAGTTTCTAGATACGATTCACCAGAGTTAACCGGACTGCTGACAATATTGTAATTTCAGTTTTTGTTAGGGAAATTTTGCTGAGAGAGTGGTAGATGTTTTGAGTAGCAGTTTTTAAAAATCAATTCTCGTTGACATTAATATGTATTTCGAAATATATATTTTTTAAAAAATGTTTTTGTGTATATAATAAGATATAATTAATAACCAAGTATGGGCAAGCATATCATCTGGTCAAAATTGACTCGGACTGACAAAAACAAACTACATTTTGACCTATTTTAATACAAATATTTATTATAGGCTCATTTTGAGCCAATACAAGCATGCCAATCAATTTCCATACASTTGATATAAGCCATGACAGTGTTGGGCTTCAGCGAATGACTTCTTTTTGGCTTCAATGAACTTATAGCGGATTTTTTGTTTCGAAATCTGGAGAGCACATCTACAGTGCCTGAACGAATTATTTCCTTTCCTGTTTGGYCGAAAAGTCAGTCACAATCAT